GCCGGGGTCGTCGGTTCCGAGGGCGTCGCGGAGAGCCTGCCGCCGCTGCTCGCGGTCGGACTGCAGCCGCGCCACTTCCTCCTCCCGCTCCTGCGCGAGCATCTCCTTCTTAGTCTTGCGCATCTCCTTGCGCCGCAGCTTGTACTTGAGCTCCGCTTTGCTGCCGAGGTCTGCCGAATTCATCATCTGCTTGATCTTCGCCTCGCGTTGAAGCTGCGCCGCCTTAGTCCCTGCGTCGAGGTCGAGCGTCGCCTCCATGTCCCCCATCACCTCGCCGTCATTATCCCCCGACTGCTGTTCCTCATCCTCATCCATCTCAACATCGCTGAAGCGGTTCAACGAGTCGTCATCGCCGTCCTCCTCATCCCCTTCATCGCTGTCCCCCCCATGGTCACTGCCCTCGTAGTCCTGAGGAAGACCACCAATCTCCTCCAGTAACGCTGCATACTTCTTACGAATGCGTAGTTTTTCGCGACTTTTCTTCTCCTTGTTGTTGCTGCTGTCGCCAACCTCGTCCTCGTCCGACGAGTCAGGAGGAGCGATGTACGCGGCGAGGTCATCTTCCGCAGCCTCACCAGTGAGGCTGTCGCGTATCGAGCGGTAGCGGAACATGTCGTCCTGGTCCCACGAGATGCGGAAGCGGGTCTGCGACAGCGCCGCTGACTTAAATGCGGCGAGCGGCTTGAAATTTGCAGGGATGCGGTCGGCGCTGCTAACAGGGTTCTCGAAAACCTCGTCGTCGTCGACGTAGCGAAGGTCGAGCACGACGCCGCTGGACTCAATGTCCATGCCGTCCAGCTGCTTGTAGACCGTCTCTGCTGTTTCCGCAGAGTCGAAGGTGGCGATGGCGTAGTAATACTTCATGCGGTCCCGCTCGTACTTACGGTGCTTCCCCTGCGAGAAGAGTTCGCCATCCTCGCCCACCTCGTGCAGCATCGCAACGTTGTCGACCTCCCACGGGTCATCGTCGCCGTCGTTTTTGTTGTTGTTGCCGTCTTCGTCATCATAATTTGACTCGTCACCCGCGCCGTTGCGGTGGTAGCGAGATCCCGCGGCGGTGTCCTGCTTCGGCTCCGCCTCATCATTCTTAACCCAGAGGTCCGGGCCGTGCACACGCTCATGCTCCACCATGCGTTTGCCAAACTCACTCATGTAGACGGAGACGTTGACGAGCTGTCCACCTAAGGGCAGCGCGTAGAAGAGAATCGCGTAGAGGTCCACTGCACGCACGTGGTCCCAGCTGCAGTTCACTACCGCCAGCCGGCGGCGAGCCTNCTCGACAAACTCCACGTCGGACGCTGACCACGCCGCCACGTCGTCGTCGAGCTCCTCCGCCTCCCCGTCCTCGAGCCTCATTTCGGCCTCCTCGTCACCCGCAGCGTCACTGCTGGCGCCCTCCGACGCTTGAGACTGCTCTTCCTCCTCCTCCTCCTCGTCATCATCGTCGTCGGAGTCTTGTGGCGCCTTCCCCATTTGCTGCAGGCGCCCCGCAAAGCGCGGGTCCCGCAGCGCTGCGTTGTCGCCGCGCCCCGCAACGCTTCGACCCCGACGGGCGATTTGGAAGCGCGGGTCGGTAAAGCGCGAGGCGAAACGCGCGTCACCGCGTCCCCGCCCACGCCCACCGCCGCGCACCGTCCCACGGCCNAAAGCGCGAGGCGAAACGCGCGTCACCGCGTCCCCGCCCACGCCCACCGCCGCGCACCGTCCCACGGCCCCGCGAGGAGCTCTGCAGCGTCTTCATCCCCAGCGAAACGGCTTAAAGCTACACAAAGAGAGGGCACGAGAGGAATGGAAGAAAGAGTGGTGACGCGTCATTAAAGAGTCACTCCAGCAGTGAAGAAAAGGGATAGGCATCACCGCTGTCGGCACCAAAGCCACTTTTTATTAACAGTAACAAAGCATGTGTTTCGATTTTTGCTCACCGCGCCTCCTTCCCTCTCTCTGTCGCTCTTCCCCCATTCCCCATTATTACTCCGGCGGGGAGTGAGGTCAGGGCTTCGCCTTCCGCGACCTCGAGGGAAAGAGCACCACAAGGTCGAGGAACATTACCATCACAACAACCCCCAGCGGTATGGTCCAAACATGATATACGGGCCACACTGCAATGATCCACAGAAAGCCAGCAGCTGTCACCACACCGATGGCGCCGTACAGGAGGTGTTTGTGTGTCTCGTTCCAGTTTGGGTGTCTGGGCTGAACAAGGAAGGCGGTATAGATCCACATTGCGAAAAATACCGCATAGAAGAAATACGAGGCCCACATGATAGGCTGAATGATGTTACGCGAACGAAGCATCACCTCCACCAGTCGGGAGGACTTCACTAAAGAGCCACACACAAACACCCTAAGAAGCTTGGTGGCGTAAAAATTTTTGTCTCTTGGCTTTGGTGGAAGATCGTTCTGTGGCTTCATTATCTTGCTTTTCTGGTGCAGGGTGTGTATTAAGGAAGAGCTGCAGGTACACAAAATACACAACGAAAAAAAGAGAGAATGAGAGTGTGTTTGTCTGACTGCACATGTGTGCATTGGGGATGGAGAGAAAGAGCAGAAGCAGATTCAAATACTGGATACAAAAAGACAACCACATTTGCCCACACTGTCGATGAAAGCAAGAGGTGTAGGACGTACATAACTTCCAGAGATGCATCATACATCATACATCATCCTCTCTCTGCGTTAGAAAGGGTGCTGTGTCGACCTTCATACTCTGTAGTCGCCGCAAGGCGGCAATCTCAATTTCGTCGATTTGCTCTGCTTTCAAGACTGCCTTTCTGTCAACAACGGGCGGCAGTGTGCCAAACGAGGCGGCTGAGGCACTCGTTACTCGCGCGATAGCTGAGCCATCCAAGTAGAGAGTGGATGTCTGATCCAATCCTGAGCCTGCTCCCGGCCGGTCTCTTTCCAGCTCAACACGGAGAGCCTTCTCCTCCAGTGTGGCCATCCGCGCCTCCATCTCTGTGCTGCTCTTCAGCACAGAGACCCAGTTCTGCTCCATATTCATCGCGAACCGGTGCAGGTCCTTTATGGACCACACAGGCTTCTTTGTCACAGCGCGCTTTGACATTGCGTGCCGCAGCGCCTTCACCGCCTCACGCGGGTCGTCATCCTCCTTGCGCTCATTCACACAGCGGTATATGAGAGTCGGTGGCGCGGAGAAGTCGTCCATGCCCTTCTGGGCGCTCCGCGTATCGAGTGCGCCTTGGTAAGCAGCGGTGCTGATGAGCAGCGACGAGTCGTAGATGCGGTTGGCCCACTCCCCGCCCATCGTTTCATGGTACGAAGACAATATAATAGACAACGTCGCTGCCGTTTGCACCGCCATCTCTTCGTTGCGAAGACCAAAGGGACACGGGAAGACGGGTGTGCCCAGCAGGTGCACCACACCAAGCACCGATCGCTGAACTTCTCCGTACCGCTTGAATACAGGAACAAGTAGCTGTGCGGCGTTCGACGTTTCAATCAGCTCCAGCAGAGGGGCGTTCTCCGACACCTTGGAGACGCACGCACCTGGCTTTGGCTTTAGGTTCACTGCGATTCCCGTTTCACTAACGGCGCACGGGACGGAGGTCTCGGATACTCGGTACGGCGCCGAGTTGTGGAGTTTAGATGTGTCACGGCCCACCACAAATGGTGCTACAAGTTCTGTAGACACAACACCAGGTGGAGGCAGCCACAGAAGCACAACAGCTGCACGAGTGCGGATAGCTAAACTCTCCAGCACGCAGTATATGCTGGCTGAAACCAACTCTAACGCGGAGTTCATCTTGCGCAGCTTATACGCTGGCACTGTACCGTTGAAAGTTGCCTTGGGGCTAAAATTACTGTAGCCGAGACGTGAGGCATTCTGCGCTCCAATTTGGGTGGTCGACATAGTTGCGTTGCCTTGTGCGGTTTGCAGTCGGGACTGAGTGCCCAACTCGCGCTCCTGACGATCCCGCTGACGCGCCGCTTCGAGAGTTGCCTTATCATCCTTGAGGGCACCGATTTCCTGGTGAACAGCTGAGCACAGCTCGCGCAGTGCCGTCTGCAGCTTGACGATGCGGTGGTTCTCTTCGGGCGTCGTGGGCTGCATCTCCTTCACGACCTTGTGCACCTCTTCAAAGCGGTGGGAGATGATCTCGCTGAAGACGCAGGGCGCGAGCGAAGAGACAGGGAAGGCATGCCGGCAGCTGTAACAAAGTTGCATTGTATCCATCTGCAAACAACACAATAAGAAGAATAAAGAGAGAGCGAGAGAGAGAGAGAGAGAGATGTAGAGACAGTGCAAGAGCGTGGCTGTGTGCGTGAAGCAAAGGAGAATAGGGGACAAAAAGACACAAAAAATGCAACAGGCAGTAAGTTGTTTCGCACGACGCATTATACTGGTTTCGCATGTTGTTTCTACAAGAGCAGCGGAAGAGCTTTCCCGCTTTCCTTCAATACTCAAAGAAATCGTCTTCAAATGGCTCATCGAGCCCGACGAGATCTCCCAACAACGTGTCGGCCGCCGGGGCCTCGCCGCCATCCTTCTTGACACCACCAACTTCCAGAGTCACCGGAATGGGGGCGTCGTCGCCCTTGACATTCGGCTCTTCATCTTCCTTCGCCACATGTGCGCCTTCAGCCTGTGGTCTTTCCTCCACAATGAAATCGAACTCAAAGTCGGCGTTCGCGGCGTCACTTGTGAGTGTTTCCCCCTCACCTGGTGTCGGCAGCAGCTGCAGCATCCCCGCCTCGATCTGGCGCAGTGCCTCCTCCTCTTCCTGGTCGAGGCGTCGGGCCGGGCCCTGCTGCAGCTCCTCCCGCTTCTTGAGGCGGGCCTTGAAGGTGCTCAGGTCTATTTCCTCCCGCGACTCCAACGCCGCCCGCACATCGTCGCGCCGCTTGCGCAACTCCCGGTGGTACAGTCGCTTGACGTCATTGCGGGAGCGCCCGGGGTAGAGGACAGCGATGGCGTTGAAGTCCGTGCCATACTGTGAGAGAAACTTGTAGAAGTCTCTGAGTTCCTCTTCTGTCCAGTCGAAGCGGGCCCGCTTGTGCCCTGCAAGCATACCTTGGAGCGGTGGTGTGGGCTCAGCGTCCTCCGCATTGGCGGCCTGCTGCGTTGCGTCGGTGCCCTGCAGCGACTGGGTGGATAGGTGGGACTGTGTTCTCTGCAGTGCAATGCGCCGCAGCTGCCGGCTGCCCCGCATAACCTGCCGTATGGGCCTCTGCTGCTCCACGGGCAGAATGGTGGGCGGCAGCTGTTCGATGGGCGTGTTGGAGAGCACACGGAGGGGGACATTGTTGATGGCGTCGACGGTCGAGTCGAACCCTTCCGCGGCGGGGTCCGGCGGGAAGTCGAAGTCGCCGCGGTCCATCCTTCCCCTTCCATGGAGAGTGACGAAGAAACAGGAGGGAGAGAAAACAAAACAACAACAAAAAAGAGGTGCTGACCCTGCAGGTGTTTGTTTGTGTGTGTGTGTGGCTGCTCCAGCAAGACCCCCATTGGCACGACAGTTTCAGAAAAACAAAAACGAGACGGGTATACTACTCCCTAAAAAGACGCAACTATATATATATATATATTAACCACTGGATAAACTGAGGACGAGGACACGCACACGCACACGCACTCACACTCACACTCTCTCTCCCTCCATTCTCCTCTGTAACAAGAAACTGCAGCAATGTGTGTGGAGGCGCATCCTTTGCATCAGCAACGCTTCATCTGATGCCTCAGTGATGTCAACGGGACAAACTGCACTCCTCCGCAACACTTCATCGTAATGTTTCCATCACCACTCTTTGTGTAAAGGCGCAGACGCTGCGCTGCATCCTCCTCCCCAACGGGTATTATAAGGCATCCGCCAGGCTTCAGTGCGTCAAGGTACGTTTTTGGCACGGACGCCGAGGCCGCGCCAACGTGGATCACATCAAAGAGGACTGAACGACCTGGAAACAACGTTGTAAGATCCCTACCATCACCTTTAACAAATGTAAGACGGTTACTCTTCACCAACGTTTCGAAACGTTGTTGCGCAACTTTCAACGAACGTTGCTGGAGCTCCTCGACATGCTCCACGCCCACCACCTGTGATTCCTCACCGCACAGCTCGGCAAGGACAACTGTGAGGTAACCACTACCGCTGCCGACGTCCAGCACTGTCTTCGGCGGATCTTCGGTTGCTCGCAGCAAAAACGGGGCGAGCAGCTCCAACATAATGGCGTGCATGTGGGGCGCGCTGATGGTAGCACCGTAGCCGAGGGGCAGTGGTTGATCTCGGTACGCGGACGACTGCAGACGCTCCGGCACAAACCAGCCGCGATCGACGCGGTGGAGTGCCGCGATAACGGCTGACGTGGAGAGCAACGAGGCCCTTTCCAGTTGCTGGATCATCGTTGCGTTCGAAACGCCCGAGCATGTCCACGCCATACGATCCTCCCAGCTATCTTGCACAGCGTAGACAAAGTTTTCTTTTCCACTCCCCCCAAAAAAAAAGAAACAGAAAAAAAAGAGAAAAAACACGATAATAAAGACAGGTTTTTGCCTTTAGGACCAGGAATGCCCAACACTTCTATTCCGCGCACTGAGAGATGAGGAATCAGCCCATACCTCACATATCCATCAAAGTCCTCCTCCTCCTCCTCCTCCTATGCCATATGGCATTAGCTTTTGTTAGTGTCGAGGCACTTTTTTCATGCCTGCAGCGTTGACGTCCATCCAAAAGCAGCATCCAAAGCGTACACGCTGACGATGTTAGCAGAGAGACCATTTCTTCACACCACAGACCATGTGCTGTTAGAAATGCGCCCCTGCCACCCCAAACTCATTTTCCGCCCTCCACAGGCTGTGGTGACAGGGGGTGGTTGTGGCTGGCCACTTTCGTTCTTGTTACACTTCATTCATGTCTATCTTCTTCTTTCATCTTGTCTCTTTTTTGGTTTTTATTCCATGAAGCATTTGAGGCTTCGTTCCTTTCTTATTGCTATACTATAGAGCAGCTCCCATGCAATACACACAAAAGTGGGTGG